TCAGTCCTCCTTGAATACCCCGTGTGGACGCCAACTAAACCAACAAACTCGGGGTTTGCAGCCCGATTGCCTTGGAACGTTTGGGTGTTGAGGTGTCATATGAGTACCTTCAACAGGGTTAAGTTTCGCTGCATGTGTAGGATTCAAGTGATTCAAGTTTGATTCAGAGCAGTTCCATTCAAGATTGGCGCAATCAATTTCCTAATCCCGCGGAATCATGCAGCTACACCATACAGCCTAAGTGTCAACCCCACTTAGTTCGAACATGAGTACTGTTGTAGTTAAGATAAGAACTACCATTCCTATGACCTCAAGCACTAAGCCTTGAAGCCTTGAAACCCCAAGCAGGTTTCCGATACAATGTTGGCTGATGCTCCGTTGGTGGCCGCGCCACATCGGACCCCCGCCTGGCACCAGGCGCTATCTCTCCCCCTGCCCCCCTCCCCCCCCCCCACCCCCCTCACCCTGACCTTGAGCGAGTGCAGCTTTACCGAAGACTGCGCGTACCTTTTTTAGAATCTACGGTGGGCCCCTGAAAGTACGATATAGGCGCCCTTTTGAAGGCCCACGTGCTTGTGGGATTTGGGAACAATGATGGGTTCGGTCTAATTCCTACTTTGGGCTATTGGAGCCTTAGGGTATTGCTGGAATATGACACGGCAGCGGGGGAACAAGCTCGGGGGAAGCTGCTCCCAGGGTTTACTTTCTCGTTTGAAGACCTCGGGCGCTCAGCTGGGCTGGGAGAAGTCTCTGAGAATATTCGTTCCCAGACTAGCCCTGGAGCATCCTTGTGGCTTCGATGTTGGGCAATCATAGGCATTACGGGTGCGTGGCCACTTTGTTTAATTCAGGATTCGGGGCTTCCTTTGTGCCTGGATAGCTGTTCACTACGCGGTGCTCGCTACGCGACTGTGCTGCATGCTTTCGCCGAGTGTCCGGGGACACAGTGTGTCTTGGATGACGCTGCCGCGTCTGTGTGCCTCCCTGAAAGAACGGAGGGACAGAGCTTGGCGTTTTTTCTTCTTAAGCAGCATCAAGATGTCAGGGTCACGCTGGCCCGTCAGAAGGTTGTAGGCACCTGCATGCAGTTGCTGCGCAGCAACAATGTCATCTCCCAGTGACAAAGAAAGCCAAGGAGCGCTTGTATGGATCTTCGTCAAGTCATGGGCTCTTGTAGTTTTTGTTTTAGTTTTTTTCATCTGGGATTTCGGGTCGAGTAAGGATGAGCAGTGAGAGACCTGCCTCACTACCTTCCTCGTCCCCGTAGAATACCAAGAGTTTTGGCCCGTGGGTGTGTCCGAACTTTTGTGTTCTGCGCCCATGCGGAGGGCTTTGCTTGGCCGCAGGGACGTTAGACGCACTCACTCACTCACTCACTATTTCTACGTATACGTGTATATGGAAAATGTTTAGACATGTGAGAACTCATTGCTACATCGGTATTTCGATGTCATGCTTACTAAACATAGCCGTGTATATAGACAAAGATGTAGATGAGGATGCCGACATAGATAGGCTCAAAATAGCCCAAGAACCTTTTCCGAAGAAGGCCTTTCTTTGGGCCCAAACGCCCTACGCAAAATGAGAGTCCTTAGAACTTTAAATGGATATAGACCCCGAGAGATACTTGGGTCGACGGCGTTAGGGGGTCTCTTAGTAAGATTTGGGGGTTTCCGGAAATAGGGGACCCCCAAAATAAATTTGGGATCCCCTTACAATAAGGACGCCAATAAGGTACCCCTAATTTCGGAAACCCCATTTAGGCCTTGGCTCGATTGGTTAAGGCCTTTAGGGCGTTGCGTGTGGGTGCTTATTGTCCTGCAGGGTCCAAGTGCGTGCGTAGTGATACATATCGTCCTGCTATAGGGTCCGCAAGTATCTGCTGCATGGATACATTGGCCCTTTGGGTGATAGCTGAGTGAGTGGGGTTGGACGACCTGGGGTTCTTTCGGCTAGGTTACAAAGCATAAAGGTCAGGTTCAAGTGCGTCGCCTTCATGGCCAGGTATTGCGGGACATTGTTGGGATTCAGGAATCAGGTCTCAAGCACCTTTCCATGCGCACGCCTATGAGGCGTGAAAATGGCAGCCCCCTGTTCATTTTCCATATCACTTGGCGCTTTAATTCAAAGTGTAACATAGGGGTCGGAATAATTACTAATACTATTCAACCCCAACATAGTACGTCCGGTGTTCTATTTCGGCTTTTGTTCATACAAGCGCAGAATCATCACATCGCGCCGCCCGAAATGTGGTAAACCTCGGCCCAGGAATACCTAGTGCAATCCTTGCAGGCCGCCCAATGAGCAGTATACGGCCAGCATGCATCAGGGTTTCGGCTTTAGCGTTTGCTGACGCATTGTCATTGACTGATCCCGGCCTCAACACGACAAGCATAACACCCTTGAGCTTTCGAAGGTGCAAGCCGACCACAGAAGATGTGCTCGATTCGCACAGCGAAGATATCGAGTGACGCCTTACAACAAAAACCATGCAGGGGCGCAGATCGAAGAACAGTTTTGCTATGGAAGGCTTTGTGACAAGAACCCGTCTCCTTGCTTTTTGGTAGGCCATGCGTTTTTGTAGCTTTTACAAGAGGCCATGCGTTTTTTGTAGTTTTTGCAAGAGGTAAGCACCACTCGCAGTTCCAGGGTCAGGGATTTAGGCAGAGTCCTCCCTAGGAGGTTTGAAGCCCAAAATCCGAAGTCCTAAGCCTTATGTTCTTAACCCTCAGTCCTAAACCCTAAACCCTAAACCCCAAGTGTCCTAAACCCTCAGCCCTAAGTCCCAAACCCGAGTTCCTAAACCCTGCGGACTTGGGGTTTAAGGTTTAGGGTTCAGTAGGCTCTTTATACCAACAGTACTTAACAGGGATTTGCGTACCGGGTTTAGGTTTTAGGGTTTCGGGTTTGGGGTTTGGGGTTTAGGGTTTAGGGAGAACCCCTACTAAGGGAATCCCTAGTTAGGGAATCCCGAGTAAGGACTGTGAGTTTAGGGGGAACATCCCAAGGTGTCAAGTTTAGGGTTTTGGGCTGGCAAAGCCCTCAACCCGAAACCTGACGGATGATCCTGGGAGGGGCCTGGGGTTTAGGGTTTAGGGGTTGGGGTTTAGTGTTTAGGGTTTGGGGTTTGGGGTTTGGGGTTTAGGGTTTAGGGTTTAGGTTTGAGAGTTCAGAGTAGAGCTGAGGGCCTTCTTCAAAACTTTGCGGCTTCTTGTCGTGATAGAACCCCGTGATAGGCGTCTGGGTTTACGGTTGAGGGTTTAGGGTGTAGGGTTCAGGGTTTAGGGTGTAGGGTTCGGGGTTTAGGGTGTTTGGGGCAGAGCGTCTAGACGAGCTCGGGGGGCTTAGGACGAACCCTAAGTTGAGGACTTGGGGATGTACCCTAAACCCTAAACCTATACACCTATAAACCCCAAACCCCAAACCCCAAACCCCAAACCCCCAAACCCTAAACCCTAAACCCTAAACCCTAAACCCTAAACCCTAAACCCTAAACCCTAAACCCTAAACCCTAAACCCTAAACCCTAAACTCTAAATCTATCTCCTCGCCGGCCCGCGCGCTCCACGGCAGTGTAGCTTCCCCACACAAGCTCGGCGAAGTGCGCGTGTGCGCGCCAGCTGCTAGAGGCGTGCGGGTTTAGGGTTTAGAGTTTAGGGTTTAGGGTTTAGGGTTTAGGGTGCTTCAGGATGCAGGAGAACAGGAAGGTTTACTGTTGGTTAGTGGGGAATGAGGGAATAAGGTACCATATATTCCCTATATACCCTTTTAAGGGATTATGTATGTGGTACCTTGTTCCCCCATTCCCTGCTAACCAACAGTCAGAAAGTTTTTACTGACCCCTGGCTAGAGAGCATTCAGAAGTTCCAGCGATTCAATAGGGTACCTCATTCCCTCATTCCCTACTAACCTACTAAGAACCAGCCTTTAAATCACCCTAAACCCTAAACCTAAACCCTAAACCCCACAAGGGCGCTATAAGCCTGGATGTGTGCGTTTGCGTTCACCAGGCCGCCGAACGCTGCGGAGATGGAAGCGGCAATCCGTGGGCTGTTAGAGTGCGAGGCTTGAGCAGAGAATCCCTAGTAGCCCTAAACCCTAAACCCTAAACCCTAAACCCTAAGCCCTAAACCCTAAACCCTAAACCCTAAACCCTAAACCCCAAGCCTTCGCCCCCAAGAAACACATAGGGCTTGGGCCCAGTTTGGAGTGCTGGTCCCAGAGAACCCGTTCAATGCGTGCGGCTTCTCTCACTCAGCCACTTGTGTTTGTTTTGTCTTTTTGATTTTAAGCATCTTTGTGGGTTCCGCTTGTTTAGAGTTTACGGTTTAGAGTGTGTAGGGTATTTTGTAGGAATAGCAAAGTTTAACCCTTTCATTCCTTGGTTATTGGAGAAGAAAGGTTTAGAGCTTCGGATTTGGGGTCCGGCTCTGGGAGGCCGAATGCCACGTAACCTTGAGGTTTAGGGTTTAGGGTTTAGGGTTTAGGGTTTAGGGTTTAGGGTTTGGGGTTTAGGGTTTAGGGTTTAGGGTTTAGGGTTTAGGGTTTAGGGTTTAGGGTTTAGGGTTTAGGTTGAGCAAGTGTGCAAATAATGCCTACATTGGGGTCTAAAGTCTGTATATAAAGACTACCTACTTTGGCATAGTTGGAGCCTCAGGGGAAGCCCAGAAGGGAATCCCCTAAACCTAAACAAACCCTTTCTGAGGTCCAGTTTCGGGGACTATGTGGAGGGCCTGGACAGGGCCACTTCGTAAAGCAGGTGGTCTTGAAGGGGTCTTGATGGTGAAAGTTTAGGATTTTGGTTTTGGGGTGTACCCTAAACCCTAAACCCTAAACCCTAAGGCCCTAGAGTCCCCATACAGGAGGTACCTTGAGGCCCAAGCATTCCTTATTCAGGTGCCCTTAGGGTTAGGGCTTAGGGTTTAGGAGTTTCCGGGGCTAGAAAGTTCGAGGGGATTTCGGGGTTTCGGGGCAGAGGCTTCAGATGCTGGTGGCCGAGGGCTTTCTGTTGGTAGGGTTTCGGGTTTAGGGTTTAGGGTTTAGGGTTTAGGGTTTAGGGGGGAGGGGGGGGCTCAAGCTTCAGGATCCGGTCAACGGCTGTCAAAAGCTTGGGGCCCGAACAAACGCTCGTTCCCCAAAGCCCTCATCTAGGGGTCGGAATGGTTGCTAATAGTATTCCCTTAGGGTCCCTTTACAAGTACCCATACCCCCCCCCCTCCCCCCCAACAAAAAAAATAATAATAGAAAAAAAACAATCAACAAATCTGATTCTTAAGGCCCCTATACCGCACCCCCTCAGGCACACACCATAAAGCGCAGACCCTTGGGAGGCCCTCCGCATTCCAGCTTCCCGAAACAACCCAGCCAAGGCGTCCGCTGGCAGCTTCCCCATGACACTGAAGGCCGGCCGAATCAGACGAACGCGGGTTTAGGGTTTAGGGTTTTGGGTTTAGGGAGTTTAGGGTTCAGGGTTCAGGGTTTAGGGTTTAGGGTTTAGGGTCTAGGGTTTAGGGCAATTTCAGTGTCTAGGGCTTAGGGTTATGAAAGGTTGGCGTTTAAGGTTTAGGGTTCTGAAAGATTGGCGTTTAGGATTTGGGCTGGTTGGTTTTGCTTTGGGTTTCTGTACGGGGTTGCTTTGAAGAGACATTGTCGGATTGAAATGGGATGTAGGGTTCAGAGCTTGAGGATGCGAGTTCAGTGATTTGGGTTTCAGGTGGAGTTACATGGCAAGTTTGAACAGGGTTTAGGGTTTAAGGTCTATGCATGGTTGAGGGATTAGAGTTTCGGGTTTAGGGTAGCAGCTGTAGGACGAAACCCTAAACCCTACATCCCGAAGTGCTCAACCGGAAGAAGCTACAAGTAGGGGTTTAGGGTTTAGGGTCACCTTCGGTTAGGTTTTGAAGATGAGGCTAGAGAGTCAGCTTGACTCTTGAAAGAAATTTGCCCCTTCTCCCACCCTCCCTAACCATCGCCCCCAAGCCAAAAACTTCCTCAAACCTTAAACCCGTTGAGCCCCCGAAACCCTAAACCTTAAACCCTAAACCCGGTAGGGTTTAGGTTTTGGGTCGTGGGTTTCGTTGAAACCCCAAAGCCCAAACCCCCAAAACCCAAAGCAACGAAGCCCCCAAAGCCCGAGACCACAACACACCCGGAAACCATGACTGGGACCCTCAAGCAATCGGCGCGAGCAGCTGAGAGCAGTTCACGGTTTTTCGGGTTCAGGGTTGTAGAGTCTTACCCCAGGGCTCCAAGTGTACAAAAAATGTCTACATTGGGGTCTAAAGTCTGTAAACTCTACCTACTATGGGATAGTTGGAGCCTGAGGGGTAAAGGTCTAGGATTCAGGGTCTTGGGCCCTTCTAGGGTGTAGGCCCTAAACCCTAAACCCTAAACCCTAAACCCTAAACCCGAATAGGCTTCTTTTGGTTTACAGCTCAGGCTTAGGAGAGCTCTCATTCCCTGAGCTCTCACCCTGAAACCCTAAACCCCTAAACCCCTAAACCCCTCAACCCCTCAACCCCTAAGCCCCTAAACCCCTAAACCCCTGAAGCCCTAAACCCCTAAACCCCGAAGCCTTAAATTCTCAACCCTAAACCCGATATCCACAGGATCTAAAGATCAAGGAGGCAGCTGTCCAAGAGGTGCCCGCTGGTGACGTTAGCGGGTGTAACCAGTGTTGCTCATTGTCTGTTGGGTTTAGAGATTAGGGTTTAGGGTTTAGGGTTTAGGTTTAGGGTGACGGGGAGCTTCTTTCCGGGTAGATCCCCCTTACAGCAAGGGCCCCCATGGAGACTTTTCACAAGAGGAGTACAGGGCACTTAATTTGGGTGTGAGGGGCTTCCCGCCTTTAGCACCCCACACCCTAATTAAACCCTTAACCTGAAATCTTAAGAGCCCTAAGCCCTTAACCCCTAAGAAAAGTCTAAGCCCTAAGAAGAGGAACCCCAAACCCTAAACCCCAAACCCTAAACATCAAATTCTGAAACCCTGAAGCCCAAACCCTACACCCCAACCTCTAAGCCCGAAGCCCCAAACCTTAAACCCCAAGCCCCAAACCTTAAGCCCCAAAACACCAAACCCTAGACCCCAAACCTACAACCTTCCTTCCCCCCCCCCCCCCTCAAAAACAAACAATGGCCACATAACCTATCCTGTGGTACTTACTGTGTGTGTGTGGGTCTGGGCCTAGGAGACTGTGGTGTGGGGCCTAGGACATTAGGACCTAAAGCCGGCCGTGTAGAAACCCTAAACCCCAAACCCTGAAACCCGACCTTCTTTGCAAAGGAGTTGGATGAAGATGGCAACTTCCCTTTCGACCTCTCCAGCGGCAGGACGTGCCGGAAATGGCGGATCAAGCTTCGGGGCCTTGTGGGGTTTAGGGTTTAGGGTTTAGGGTTTAGGGTTTAGGGTTTAGGAAAGTGTCGGGCTCGAGAGGCGCAGGCGATCAGATGCACTACCTCAACTTGCCCTAGACTGCGGCCCGGTAAGGTTCTTCGACCATGAAAGCCGTTCTCAGTCGGGAATGAGGGAATGAGGGCCCTAAATATACCCTTTAAGGGATTATACTTAAGGGCCCTCTATATACCATTTAAGGGAGTATATTCAGGACCCTATATATACCCCTTAAGGGATTAGATTTAGGGCCCTAGAACTACCCTTTAAGGGATTACATAGGGTACTATATATATATATATATATATAGATAGATAGATAGATAGATAGACCCTTTAAGGGATTACATAGGGTACTCGATATAGATATAGATAGAGATATATATATATATAATTAAAGATTTACCCTTTGAGGGATTATGTAGGGTGCTCAGTCCCCCGTTCCCTACTAAGAACCAGCCAGGATTGGACAGATCACTGTCAGCCCTGGCTGGATGGGCACGGTTGAGGCGTGTTCTCTCCAGGGGGTTTGGGGTTTAGGGTTTAAGGTTAGGGTTCAGGGTTTGGGGTTTAGGATTTAGGGTTTAGGGTTTAGGGTTGTCGAAATCCTTCAGCACCGAATGTACGAAGTTGTCACAAACTGTCTTTACAGGGAGCCGAGGTTATCCCTGTAACAGGACCCCACATAGGTTGTTGGACTTGTTGCAAGCCCTTACAACCCCCATGAAGCCCTACACCTCCCGTAGCTTACGTCGTAGGCTTCTGGTTTGACAAGGGTATTGAGGCATGCTCATCTACAAGATCTTAATCCCCCCCCCCCCATGTTGCCCTGAAGTTTAGGATTTAGGGTTTGGGTCAGCGCCTTACCAGTCCCGGGGGTAACCTAGGGGGTGGTATAGAGGGGGGTAGTAGGGAAACCCATGAAAGGTATGCAACCCAAGAAGCTTCCCTAGTGATCCCCACTCCTCCTTAAGGCTCCGTAAGCTTCCGAAACGCTAAACCAAAACCCTAAACCCTAAACCCAAAACACTAAACCCTAAACCCCAAAAAGAAACCTAAACCCTAAACCCTAAATACCCACTTGAACCCCCGTCCCTTAAGAACCCTATGAGAGGTGGTGGCCACCGGCATCGTCCTCAACTTCTCGTTCAGCCCCATGAAGGCCATGAACAACGCAGTGACCTCGGGCGGTTTAGGGTTGGTAGGGGTGTTCTGATGGTGTTAACATGATCCCGAGAGACGGCATCGGAAGTTCTATGGGAAGTTCCCCGTTGTGGCCGAGGCCTTCAAGAAGGAGGAGCCGGATGACGAGGAGAGAAGTTCAGGGTTTCCGGTTTTAGGGTTTTAGGGTTGTGGGGTTTTAAGATTTTTTAGGGTTATTTAGGGTTTTTAGGGTTTTAGGGTTTTAGGGTTTAGGGTTTAGGGTTTAGGGGTTGGGTTTTAGGGTTTTAGGGTTTTAGTGTTTTCGGGTTTAGGGTTTAGGGGTTGGGTTTCAGGGTTTTAGGGTTTTAGTGTTTTAGGGTTTTAGGGTTTTAGGGTTTAGGGTTTTAGGGTTTAGGGTTTAGGGCTCAGGGTTTCAAATGCTTGGGTCGAAATCTTTAAAGCCCCAGCGGGGCTGTCCAGTCCATGTGTCTTTGCTTGGTAGCCCAGTGGTTCCCCCCTTTTGTTGTTGGTTCAAGGTTCCCTTATAATGAAGTAACCAACCCAAGAAAGGGTGCCCTTACTCAAATATGGTTACTGGGGGGTTTAGGGTTTGGGTTTAGGGTTTAGGCCCTAAACCCTAAACCCTAAACCCTAAACCCTAAACCCTAGACCCTAAACTTTAGGGGTACCAAGTTTGACAATTTTATCATTGTGGTTTCTGTCTCGCAGGGCAGAGCCCTCAACCCGAAGCCCCAGGGATGCTTTTAGGGTTTAGGGTTTAGGGTTTGGGGTTAAGGGTTTAGGGTTTAGGGTTTAGGGTTTAGGTTTTTGTTTTTGCACCTTGGGGTTTAGGGTTTGGGGTTTCGGGTTTAGGGTGCTGGACCCTCAACGAGAAAGATGGGATCTCCGAGAGCGTTTAGGGTTTTTGGGGTTTTGGGATTTTTTGGGTTTTGGGGGTTTAGTGTTGAGTGTTTTTGGGTTTTTTTGGGGTTTGGGGGTTTAGGGCTTAGGGTTTAGGGTTTAGGGCTTGGGGTTCCGTTGACCACCTTCACGGCAGGAGGAGCAGCACACGGGAGTGCCAGACGCCCAGAGCACCATGAGTCTTACTCTTAGGGGGTCGACATAATTACTAATAGTATTCCCTTATGGTCCCTTTGTCCTTCTACTAATTGTATTCCCTTAGGGTCCCTTTGTATTATTCTACTAATAGTATTCCCTTAGGGTCCCTTGGTAATTCTACTAGAATATCCCCCCCAAAACCCTGTTCTAATTATTAAGGCCCCTATATAAGTTTCCATTCACGAGCCTTTTTGCGCACGCGATGGGGCGACCTAGAGCAGCGGTGACCCCATTATAACGGTACTTTTAACCCACCTATAAGTCCCTTAAGTGCCCTAACTATGGCTTTGCTTGGGGTAGAAGTACAGGTATTAGTGGGTCAACAAGTAGCATGAACCTCCAAGTAGAAGCTGTAGAAGCGGACTCCTCCCCTAAAGCGGAAGCCTGAAAGCTCCCTCGTGATGTCCTCATGACAGGAAGCCGACTTCACTGGAGTCCACTAGCCCACGTTGTCGTCGGCGGCATCCCCCAAGCATAAAACCGCAGCAGTCGCATCCTTCGAAGGGTTTCAGGGTTTATCGGGTTTTTTCGGGTTTAGAGGTAGGGTCTAGGGTTGCCCCCTCCTAGTGGCAGTTCCGCAACTCAATAACCGGAACATTCTTCATGATGCAACATGCCGGCTTGCAGCATATGTGCCATCTCGCGGCACGTGGTTTTCTCAAACTCTTTCCCCCTCTCCCCCTCTCCCCCTCTCTCCCCTCTCCCCCTCTCCCCCTCTCCCCCTCTCCCCCTCTCCCCCTCTCCCCCTCTCCCCCTCTCCCCCTCTCCCCCTCCCCCTCTCCCCCCTCTCCCCCTCTCTCCCCCCTCTCTCCCCCTCTCTCCCCCTCTCTCCCCCTCCTCTCCCCCTCTCTCCCCTCCTCTCCCCCCCTCTCCCCCTCTCTCCCCCCCTCCTCTCCCCCCCCCCCCTCCTCTCCCCCCTCTCCCCCTCCGCTCCCCCCCCTCTCCCCCCCCTCTCTTCTCTCTCCTCTCCCTCTCTCTCCCTCTCTCTCCCCTCTCTTCTCTCCTCCTCTCCTCCCCTCTCCTCTCATCCCTCTCCTCACTCTCTCTCTCTCTCTCTCTCCCTCTCCTCCCTCTCTCTCCCTCTCTCTCCCTCTCCTCTCTCTCCCTCTCTCCTCTCTCTCCCTCTCTCTCCTCTCCTCTCACTCCTCTCTCTCCCTCCTCCTCCTCCCTCTCCTCTCACCTCTCTCTCCCTCTTCTCTCCTCTCTCTCCCTCTCTCTCCCCTCTCTCTCCTCCCTCTCTCTCCCCTCTCCTCTCTCCCCCCTCTCTCCCTCTCTCCTCCCCTCTCTCCCCTCTCTCTCCCTCTCTCTCCCTCTCCTCCCTCCTCTCCCTCTCTCCCTCTCTCCCTCTCTCCCTCTCTCCCTCTCCCTCCCTCCAAACCCTAAAACCCCGAATCCCCCGATGCTCCCTTCTGGTGCCTTCTCTCCAGGCCGCACGCTCCGCCTCCGTATCCGGGGCCTCCGCCTCAGGGAGTCGGGCTCGGGTTGTGGTTTAGGGTTTAGGGTTTGGGGTTTAGGGTTCAGGGTTTAGGGTTCAGGGTTTAGGGTTTAGGACATTGCGACCTAGACTTTACGAGTTTCAGGCTGTTGAGGCTTTGTCCGCATCCCATTTAGCATTGGGTCCCCGCAGATTCTTCAGTATGGCATCCCATAGAACCCTCTGAGACTCGCGCATCCCCTAAACCCTAAACCCTAAACCCTAAACCCTAAACCCTAAACCCTAAACCCTAAACCCTAAACCCTAAACCCTAAACCCTAAACCCTAAACCCTAAACCCTAAACCCTAAACTTAAACCCTAAACCCTAAGACCCCTGTCAAGCCTAAAGACCCCCCCAACATTGCTTGTCAGGGTGCCGATGCAGCAGGGACCGCCACCGGCAGATGTGCCCCCAAGGCCCGCATGATTCCGCATGATGTCGCGGAAGCTTGGGGGACATCTAGGCTTTGGGCTCTAGGGTAAAGCTCCCAACCCTAAACCCTAGTAAACCCTTTAGGGTTTAGGGTTTAGGGTTTAGGGTTTACCCAAACCCTAAACCTAACCCTAAACCCCAGGCATCCCTAGGCCCTAATCCCTCAGTATTGGTTCGGTCGACGGGCCACTGCAGCTGGGGGGTGACATGGAAAACGCTCTCCCGCAAACTCAAGCCCAAAACCCTAAAACCCAAACCCCAAACCCTAAACCTAAGACAGGACAGCCTTGAGGACCAAAGGAACCCCAAAAGTGGGTGGTCATACACACTATACGACTATAATCCCTATTAAGGCATATGAACCATATAAACCCTTTCAGGGTTCGTTTGGTCCCCAAGGAGGAGCCTTAAACCAAGTAAAATCAACGTGGCCCCCTTGTAACCCACATCTATTTTGTGAATTGCACGAAGGATCCAGTCTACTCAAACATGCCCTATGCAAGACCCTAAGGGTCCATGTGCCGAAATAAGGAATACCCGAGCCTTGAAGTACCTCCAACAAGGGACTTTAGGGCCCAAGTCTATAAGAATGAGGTACACGGACCTTTAGTGAGAGGCTTAGGCCCCATCGCTTCTGGCGCCTAGGGTTAGTAGTTAATAGGGTCTAACTTCCGTGCAAGCATACTTGACCCTAAACCCTAAGCCCTAAACCGTAAACCCTGACCCCTAAACCCTAAACCCTCTAAACCCTAGAGGAGCAGGGGATGCGCTCAACGTTTAAGCTTAATCGGTTTAGGGTTTAGGATTGGGATGTTTCCGCTTACACGAACGGTCCTTAATTGGGATTCTAGTACCCCCGCCCTAGTATAATCCCTATTCAGGCTGCTAGCATAAGGCTTCTGGGGTTTTCGGGTCGGGGGGTGTAATCTAGGGGTCGGTACATTTCTAATACTTTTCTACAAATATTATAATACCCCCCCCCCCCACCCCAAAAAAAAAGCCTATTCTAATCATTAAGGCCGCTCTATTTCCCTTGTATTATGGTCCCTTTATAATTATACTATACTAACCCCCCCCCCCCCCGCAAGAAAAAAAAAACATTGTAGCTATTAAGGCCCCTATAGTCGGGTTTTTTAGGGGGTTAACAGGCTTGGACCAAACCCCCGCTTGGGCGAAGGTTCTGCCAGAACCACTTCACCTCCGCGTCGGTTTCCTCAGTCAACGCAACCCTATTCCTAAACCCTAAACCCTGAGCCCTAAACCCCAAATCCCAAACCCTAAACCCTAAACCCGAGACCCTGTCCTTCAAGCCCATAAGACCAAATCTTGAGAGTTTTAACGGACCGGTGTCATCTCCTCCTCGTGGCATTAAGACCCCTGCAACCTTGGGGACCAAACGAACCCGAATCTCAGGGCTTTAGGGTTTAGGGTTTAGGGCTAGGGTTTGGGGTTAGGGTTTTAGGGTAGTTTCATGGGCCCGGAACATGGTCCCTCACCTCCTTCAAAGGCTTCTGAGGTAGGGGCCCTTAACTTGTGTAGGGTAGATAAGGGGCATATCAGGGGTACCCTTTTAAAGGGACCATATTAAGGGACCATGTAACTACCCTTAGACCTGAAAGGTTTATGGCTCATGTACCTTACTATAGGGATTATAGTAGTCTGTTGTATGATGAACCCAATAAGGACCCCAATTTATAGTAGTCTATTGTATAACGACCCCAATAATGACCCCAATTTAGGGTTCACTTGGTCCCCAAGGACCTAGCATTTGTCCATGGTTTTGCGGGAATGTTCACTAGGTTGGCGTTTGGGATATTTTCATCTGCCTTGGGTTTATAAGGGACCCTATATATGCAGATATATACATATATATATATAATACTAGTAATACTAGTAGTAAGAATAGTAATAACACACGTGTTTTCAAAGGGTGTACAGGCCAGCCCAGTTCAGCATTGGGGCGGGGGGCTTAACGTCAGTCAGGAGGGGATTGGGTTTAGCACCATATTGGGGCCCTTGAGGGGCTTAGAAGTGGGTTCTAAGTAATTGGTTGATAAGTATCCAAGTATTTGAGCTGATCGGATTCCGCCAAACCCCCAAACCTTAAACCCTAAACCCTAGCCAGGGAATTCACGAAAAGCAACCTCGAACCCTCCAGTACTTCGTATGGAAAGCTCTCTAAGGCAAGTGAGTCCCTTACTTAAGGTTTAAGGGTTCAGGGGTTCAGGGGTTTGGAGCCGTCCCTGATTGGCGGTTCCGAGCAGAAGGGTTATAGAGCATTTAGGGGAAGGTAGTTACTGCAAGTGGATGAACTACCCCAAGCCCCATGCCACCGCAACCACCCAACTCCCACTTGAAGATTAAGAATCCCTAAACTAAACAGTAAGGACAACCAACCAAAAAGACGCAGGCACGGAAGCAGACATGGCTACCGGTGTTACACCAGCCACTATGAATGCTGCGAACAAAGGGGCTGCAATCACCACATGTCCAGCATGTCGAAGTGGAGGTGGGCCGGATCAAGAAGCCAAGCAATGGGAATGACGAGCCAAAGCTGATAGAGGCACACACTGACCACGCCATCGGCAAGGTTCCAGTGGCCCGTCTGCAACGCCAGAACAGGCCACCACCGCCCTCCTCCTCCGGGGGTGCCAAGTGAGCTGCGTAGCCAGAAAGATCAAGCTGCTCGGGCTGCATGCGGGACTGAGTCCCTGAGACTCATCTTCGCCATCTCGGCAGCGGCCCTAACATCGTCTTCGCTGGTAGTGCTGGGCAACACCGCCCAGGGCATAGACTTCGTCGTCTTCTTGTACTTGCCCTGGCTTGCCACAAAGGTGATGCAGCCCAACGTGATGTCCTCGAAGGTGAGGTTGATGGGCTTCATCTTGTTGCCGCTCTCATTTACCCTCGAGACCGTGAACTTCTGAACCTTGTGCTGCGCTCTTTGGGGAGTGAGCCCAGGCGGTCTTATGGCTTTGCAGTGATGTCAGGGCCCATCTTGGGGTAGCTACATGGTCCTTTACTAATGTGGGGGCCGCCCTTGGGGAACCCTTCTAAACCCCCCCACAACCTTATTGATCCTATAAACCCCTAGGGCCCCAGAAGCCTTTAAACTTTAAAGAAGGTAAGGGACCACCCACCCTAAACCCTAAAACCCTAAACCCTAAAACCTTAAAACCCTAAAACCCTAAAACCCATATCATAAACCCATAAAAACCCTAAACCCTAAACCTATAAACCCTAAACCCGTGATCTGCTGCCCAGGCAGCGGGAGAAGATCGATCCGTGCCAGCGTCCGTGCGAACGATGCGGTGCTCAGGCTCCCACGGTCGGGTCGTATGACTCTAGACTCTAGGGTTTGGGGTTAATACAGGGTTGAAGGTTTGGGGTTTAGGGTTTAGGGTTTAGGGTTTAGGGTTTAGGGTGTAGGGTTTAGGGTTTAGGGTTCAGGGCTGAAACAGGGTTGAAGGTTCAGGGTTTAGGGTCGTAGGACTTGAGGCCTTTAGGGTTGATAGTTTAGGGTTCAGGGTTCAGTGTTCAGGGTTTGGGGTTTAGGAGGGTTTAGGGTTCAGGGTTCAGGGTTCAGGATTTAGGGTTTAGGGTTTAGGAGGGTTCAGGGTTTAGGGTTTAGGGTTTAGGAGGGTTTAGGGTTTAGGGTTGAAGGTTTAAAGGTTTAAGGGTTTGCTTGCTTTTAGGGTGTGGTGTCCACATCGTGGATGTTGCTACCTCGTCAAGCTTGTGCTTTATAACTGGAACGAGGTACCCTGTATAATCCCTTAAAGTGTGTATGTATATATATACATATATATGGCCATAGGTCCCTCATTCCCTACTAAGAACCCGGGGGATAAAGACCACCACGAACCCACTCTCCTAAACCCCAGGCCTTTCGGAAATCTGGGCGAAGTTCTGAAGGTCTCCAGAATCTAGAATTCATGGGGTCACCTGTCAAAGGAAGTAGCAGCTTGTTTTACCCAGAAGCCTACCCAAAGGCTCCTGTGTAGTTCCTTTTTGGGTTAGGTATAGGGGATCTTAGTATGCTACCCCAAAAGGGTACTACATAGGAGCCTTTGGGTAGATACACTTGAGGAAGTATTGGGTACACCCTTGCAAGGTGACAAGGTTGCTCCAGCTGGGTGCACTGCGACACTCGCAGCTAGACTCAGTTCTACCGCCCCCAAACCCAGAAATATTCAACGCCCCCCCTTGGGCATACCCCTTACACGAAATTAAGGTGTATGATAACATCCCTTTATTATTCAACTTTTCTGGGTTAAGGAGTATGGGCTTGGAGTATGTCGAACATGACTTGATAAACATGATTGCAGAACTCTCGCCTTACCAAGACGCTTGCTTCTGAGCTTCGAGTTGGCCGGGTTTAGGGTTTAGGGTTTCGGGTGTAGGGTTTAGGGTTGGTTCACAAGGACATGGGGGTGAGGGGTCGGGGTGATTGCGGCCTACTGTAGGGTTTCAGGGTTTTGGGTTTAAGTTTTGGGGTCTTTCCCCCTGCATCCTATTCGGGGCCCTTATGAGAGTAGCGTTGCGGTGGGGCAGTTCTGTCCTCCTGTGAAAGTTCAAGAGGAGTAGGGGTTTTCCTTCTGCCCTCGCGCCCTGCAGCTTGAACAGCTGAACAGCACAGGATGCCAACAGCACGACATTGTACTCCACACCTGTGACTTGCCCGCTCACCGGAAACCCTAAACCTTACAACTCAAACTAGAAACCCTAAACCCAAGACCCCAAACCCAAAACCTTAAACCCACCCTAGATTCCCAGATCCTGCCCACTCCCTTGGAACTTCCTGCACTTTCACAGAGAGAGAGAGAGAGAGAGAGAGAGAGAGAGAGAGAGAGAAAAAGAGAGAGACAGGGAGAGAGAGAGCGAGAGCGAGAGCGAGCGAGTCCTGAAAGGCAAGGCAACGCCCGCATGTCCAACATCCGACCCTGAACTCCCCATTTCCATGGTAGCAGCCGACATTTTGTAGAGTTGAGGGATGCGCAACCTGCCATGGCTGCGCTACCTCAAGAATGGCCACCTCGACTGCAAGCATAATATGGGGGGGGGTTCCGACAATAGGGCTACCCTTTTCGGGGGGTCCCTGCAAGGGGATTCTATTCTATTGTAGAAAAGGGTTACGCCTAGTTTGGGAAGGGACCATGTGGGGCTTGCGGGGGTTCAGGCGTAAGGGCTTCTGTATGGACTTGGAGGTTCATGGTACTTATTAAGCCGCTAATAGCTGATAACCCAAGTAAAACCATGTTCGGGCACTTCAGGTACAGTTATATACGTTTAGGGTTTAGGGTTTAGGGTTTAGGGTTGTACCATGAACCTGCAAGCAGAGCCGCAGTGTACACGACATCTGCCGTTCGCCGGTCTTCACCCTCAACGCCCCATGGCATCCCCCCCCCCCCCCCCCCCCAAGGCCTCAGCCCAGAACTCCAAGCCAAAAGCCTTACCCCCAACCAAACGCGTTTAGGGTTTAGGGTTTGGGGTTTAGGGTTTAGGGTTTAGGGCAGTTTAGGGTTTAGCAACCAAACCCCAGGCACATTTACCATCTCAGGCCTCCGCCTTTCTTCACTGTTCTAGCTGCCCAGACCACTCGAGGGGGTCCATCTCAGAACAACACACGCAGACGACGTCCACTCCCTAACATTTTGGAGTTCCTGTGGACTGGGCTGTGTAACTTCAAGGCTTTTCAACCTTCTAAAGCCTAAGCCCCAAACCGACGCGCCCCCAACCACGCAGCTTTAGTGGCTGGGTTGACGGTGTAGGGTAAGTGAACCTCAACGAAGCAGAAGCCTGACTAGCTTAGCAGGGAAACTTTGGTATAGACTCTTGGCTTACGAAGATCGTCTTACTATCAAGTGTGATTTTTTTGGGGGCCTGCATCCTCCCTAAGCCCGAAACCCCAAAAAAATAAGCCCTTTAAGCCCTAAACCCTAGGCCCTTGACCCTCAGCCCTAAACCCCAAACCCTGAGCCCTAAACCCTAAATCCTAAACCCTAAACCCGAAACCCTAAACCCCAAACCCTAAACCCTAAAGCCCTGGACTCCTGGGAAGCCCTGAGGTGTGTACTACTGCTTCTTTCGCCTGGCCCCAAGCATTGGCGAGCTGCACGTGCCCAGCGAAGCATGGGACCTTACGAAGGCTTCGCCGTAAGGGATTTCGGCTTGGCGCGCCCTAAACCCCAAACCCCAAACCCCAAACCCCAAACCCCAAACCCTAAACCCTAAACCCTAAACCCTAAACCCCAAACCCCAAACCTAAACCCCAAACCCTAAACCCCAAACCCCAAACCCCAAACCCCAACCCAAGCAGAGACGACAGAACCACTAAACGATTCAGCAGGTGCTTAGGGCTAGGGTTTAGGGCTTTGGGCGTAGGGTTTAGGCTTTAGGGCTTAGGGTTTGGGGCTGAGAGTTTCGGGTTTAGGGCTAGGGCTTCGGGTTTAGGGTTTGGGGTTGGCTTCAGGGTTTAGGCCTATAGGCTGCCCTGTGAGTTGAAGGTGCCAGAAGCTCGCAACTTCGAGTAGTTACACGGAACTCTTCTGCCCTTGGGATCAGAGTCTACGAACCAGAGTGGGCCCCTATATCTATATTCCTATATATAGATATATATATATATATATATATGCTACCCCCCCCCCTCAAAACCCGCGTTTTACTATGTTTTCCTATCGTACACTGTGAAAACCTCTCCCCAGAAACCCTCAGTTCCAGAATTCCAGAATTCCAGATTTTCTGAGATCCCTAATTCCAGAATTCCAGAATTCCAGATTTTTCAGAGGCCCCCAGTTCCAGAATTCCAGAATTCCAGAATCTGGAATTCTGGAACTGGGGGCCCCCGGCAAATCTGGAATTCTGGAATTCTGGAATTCTAATTTCGGAGACCCAAGAAGGTTACATTTGAAATTAGAGACGGAAAATAAGAGTCTTATTAATCTTACCCAGTAAGTTTTAGAGGATTCCTTATAATGTTCTAGGCTGATTAAATTTAATAATACTCCCGTTCACTTCAATGGGAGTTCTTATTAGCCACCAGTTCCAGATTTCCAGAATTCCAGAATCTGGAATTCTGGAACTGGGGGCCCCTGACAATTCTGGAATTCTGGAATTCTGGAATTCTGGAATTCTAATTTCGGAGACCCAAGAAGGTTACATTTGAAATTAGAGACGGAAAATAAGAGTCTTATTAATCTTACCCATTAAGTTTTAGAGGATTCCTTATAATTTTTTAGGCTGATTAAATTTAATAATACTCCCGTTCACTTCAATGGGAGTTCTTATTAGCCACCAGTTCCAGAATTCCAGAATGCCAGAATCTGGAATTCTGGAACTGGGGGCCCCTGACAAATCTGGAATTCTGGAATTCTGGAATTCTAATTTCGGAGAGCCAAGAAGGTTACATTTGAAATTAGAGACGGAAAATAAGAGTCTTATTAATCTTACCCATTAAGTTTTAGAGGATTCCTTATAACTTTCTAGGGTGACTAATTTTAATACTACTCCCGTTCACTTCAATGGGAGTTCTTATTGGCCCCCAGTTCCAGAATTCCAGAATTCCAGAATCTGGAATTCGGGAACTCGGGGCCCCTGAAAAATCTGGAATTCTGGAATTCTAAGAGCCGAGAGAAAGGTTACATTTTGAAATTAGAGACGGAAAATAAGAGTCTTATTAATCTTACCGAATAGGTTTCCTATTTAAGATTAATCCTACTGCCGTCCATTTTACTGGGGGTTCGTATTAAATTGATAAGATTCCGAATAATTTTACTAGCATTCACTGTTTTTTAAGTAGGATTCCTGCATTTGTCTAATTGGGTTCGTATTAATTTCTAAAGGATGCCTATTAAAGGGTGCCTATTGGATTTATTCGGGTTAATATTGATTACTATTCATTTTCATCAGATTCCAAGTAGTTTGAATAGGGTTCTTAGTAATGTTAATAGCGTTCTTATTCCTAGTATTTTTTAAACATATTCCTATGATGTTAATGGGCTTCTTATTCAAGTTCAAAAGATTGCGTACAATTGTTAATTGAATTCTTTTTGCTTTGATAATGTTAACAGGGTCTCTCATTCATGTTGAAAGGATTCTTAATAATTTTCATAGGGATCCTACTAGATTCAACAGTGCTCCTACTGTTTTTTGAATACTAGTCCCTATTCATTTCAATATAATTCTATTGTAATTCTTAATTATTTTAACAGCAGTCCTATGAACAAAAAGTGTTAATAGGGTTCATAGTCATTTCATCAGTGCGGCTCTTATTGTTTCAAAGGGTCCACGTTACTTTTTTATAGAATTTTATTGGCTCCTCTTAATCTTAATAGGATTCGTCTTCACGTTAAACGGATTCCTGTTACTCGTAAAAGAATTCACAGAAGTTTTTCTAGGGTTCATATTCATTTTAATCGCATTCCTATGAATTCAAAAGGGTTCCTATTCATTTCAATGGGCTTCCTATGATTCCTTTGAGTTTAGGACTCCAAGAAATTAGAATAGGAGTCCTACTAATTTGATATGCTTCTACATATTTAAACCAGATTCCTATCAATTGTACGTATTGATTTATTTAAATAGGATTCTTATTGAATTCATACGAAATGAATCCCATTAAATTTAATAGGAACCCAAGTAAAACTAACAGCAATCTAGCAATCTTATTGATACTTTTTTGCTTTTTTAACCGTTTTTTAACACTTAATAGCAATCCACGATCTCGAGCAAATTGTTCAGGTCACTTCTGTTTGAGCACTCGCTCGAGCAATGGCTGAGTGGATCTACTTATGTGAATTAAGCTTTTTGGAATCAACGAAGTTAATTAAAAGTAACGAAATCAAGGACAATAGACAAATTAGTGAAATTCAGTAAACTATTTAATGAGTTTCTAAAACCCTACCATGACCAAACTGGGGGGCCGATCTGTCGGACTTCAGGGAAGAGCATATGGAAGCGTGGGTTTTGGGGGGGGGGGGGGGGTACCATATATATATATATATATATATATATAGATATATATATATATATATTCCTTTGCGTTTGAGGTTGTAGGGTTTGGGGTTTAGGGCTAGGACCCAGAGCAGGCCCTCATTCGCGTTCTTTTGAATGTTTAGGTTCCTGTATAAGCCCCGTTCAGCCAGAAAGGGCACCCTTTTGATTCCTAGGCTACTTTTGGGTCTAGGAGTAGTACGAACCTTCGGTACACTACCTCACTACAGGAGATGGTTTTGGCTTTGAGGCCATGAACCCTATGCACTGGACCCATAAATCCCTGCAACAACCTCATATACCCCAAACCCTAAACATACACCCTACAAACCCTAAACCCAGTACTCTCTATACCCTACAGTCTACACCCTAAACCCTCAAGCCTCAACCCCTTCATCCCCATGTGCGCCCCCTACGTCCTCATACTGAGCTGCACTCAGTTGTGCGCAGGTTCCGTCGGGCACGCTGCACCGAAATCCCAGCATCCAGGGCCCGGGCCCTTCAGCTTGTTTTGGGCCCGAGGCCCTAGGCCCCAAGCCCTAAACCCTAAACCCTAAACCCTAAACCCTCAACCTAAACCCTAAACCACCCTGCTGGGGGCTTGAGGGATTTCGGCCCCGAGCCCTACACCCTAGTCACTCCTAGTCCTCCACATCTCTGCAGCTTGTTCGAGGCACTGTAAACTTTAAGCCCTGAACCCTAGACCGATTTTAGATTTCCAGGCTCCAGGGTATGCGGTTGGGGTTTAGGGTTTAGGGTTTCGGGTTTAGGGTTTAGGGTTTAGGGTTTAGGGCTCTGGGATTTGAGGGTTCAGGGTGTTGAGGGTTGAGGGTCCAAGTTGGGGTGCATGTCTCAGGGTCATACCCCGACCCCAGAAAGGATCCAAAAAGTAGAACCCCCAAATAGTACCCCATAATAAATCCGAAACCCCAGAACATAAACCCTAAACCCTATAAACCCTTAAGGGGATCTACTTTTTCCTACTGCTGAGTCATTCTTTGGAACCCTTAAATTCTTAGGAACCCTCAAAGGGGATCTACCTTCTGGATCCTCCCAACAGTCTGGGCAACTGCTCCCCTGAACCTTAAACCCTAAACCCTAAACCCTACACCCTAAACCCTAAACCCTAAACCCTCAACCTTACACACGTAAGGGGATCTACTTTTTACCACTCTTGGGTCGTGCTTCGGCACCCTGAGGCCTATGGCTTCTGCGCGGCTGCATGACCGAGGCGCGCCACGATTTAAACCCTAAACCCTAAACCCTAAACCCTAAACCCTAAACCCTAAACCCTGAACCCTGAACCCTGAACCCTAAACCCTAAACCCTAAACCCTACCAAGCCGGAGCTGTCAAAGAAGGGAGCCAGGATCGGGGGGCTTCGAAAGGATGCAAAGTAGACTTATAGGTACCCTAAGAGGGTTTGGTGCCGAGGGGGTGTGGGGTTTGGGGTCTAGTTAGGGGCTTAGGGTTTAGGGTTTCGGGTTTAGGGCTTGGGGTTCAGGTTTCAGGGTTTGGGGGGTTAGGGTCAGGGGAGTTATCCTACTTAAGAACCTGCGCAAAAAGCAGTGCCCCGATCCTCCAAGTAAGGACTACGGGCTCCAATTCTGCCCCGCATCCCGGGAATGTAGATTTCAGGGTTTAAGGGTAAGTCTCAAGCGTTTAGGGTTTTAGTGGGTTGGTCTTGGGGTTCAGGGGTCTTGGGGTTCACTGGTCTTGGACTGCTAGCGCCTGCGCTTCTTGGAGTGTTGGCATTTAGGGTGTAGGGTTTATAGGGTTTAGGACTTTGAGTCGACCCCTAAACCCTAAACCCTAAACCCTAAACCCTAAACCCTAAACCCTAAACCCCAAACCCCAAACCCCAAACCCTAAACCCTAAACCCTAAACCCTAAACCCTAAACCCTAAACCCTAAACCCTAAACCCTAAACCCCAAACCTACAGAGCCCGGCCATGTCCAGGATGCCTTGGCAAAGGTTCGGGCGCTCATCCGCAGCCTCCACGAAGGCCGCTTGGGGGTCTTCTTGCGGGAATTTAGGGTTTAGGGTTTAGGGTTTAGGGTTTAGGGTTTAGGGTTTAGGGTTTAGGGTTTAGGGTTTAGGGTTTAGGGTGTCGTGGCCACAGTAAACCCTATAAGCCCAAAACCCTAAGGCCCTATAAACCCTGATGTGCCCCGCATCCCGAAAACCCTGGACCGAAGCCTTGGAGGGAGGGTTTAGGGTTTAGGGTTCAGGGTTTAGGGTTTAGGGTTTAGGGTTTAGGGTTCAGGGTTTAGGGTTTAGGGTTTAGGGTTTAGGGTTTAGGGTTTAGGGTTCAGGGTTCAGGGTTTAGGGTTCAGGGTGTAAGGCGTAGGGTTTAGGGTTTATTGGGCATGGGGCCTCGAAGAAGTTCGTAGGGTTTGGGGTTTAGGGTTCCTCGGTTCCATTGGGAACTCTTATTGTTGAGGCCTTCTGGGGACGATGGACCCCAGATAGGCATAGGCAACATTAGCCACCACGACGCTGATACTCTATTTCTGTATACCCCTCTCAGGGTAACCTATACCCGAAATCCTAAACCCTAAACCCTAAACCGCCTATTCTAAGTTCCTTATTACCCATTAAGAGCCCCACCCAATCCCTCAGTTGGGCGGCGCTTTGGTGTTTGGCGTACTTTTTCCTTCTGGTTTATTGGGGCTTGTGGGTTTTAGGGTTTTAGGGGTTAAGGTTTAGGGTTTAGGGTTCTTTCTGTTGTCTACTGACGTCCTACAAGCTCCAAGCTGAACTCCTAGAGACCCCTAGACCCTAAACCCTAAACAACCCTCAACCCTCAACCCTCAACCCTCAACCCTAAACCCTAAACCCTAAACCCTAAACCCTAAACCCTAAACCCTAAACCCTAAACCCTAAACCCTAAACCCTAAACCCTAGCCCTAAACCCTAAACCCAGACGTCAGGGTGCAACAGCGCAGTTCCCCAACTTCAGCTTTTGCCCTCTCCTCTCTCTGCCTCTGGAGGCTCCCGACCCTGGCATGGCTACGCAGACTGGCTGCGCTCAGATGCTGTAGGGTTTAGGGTTTAGGGTTTGGGGTTTAGGGTTCAGGGTTTAGGGTTTCGGGTTTAGGGTTTAGGGCTGGGTCTTGGAAAAACTGGTGTTGTTTTGCAAGAAGTTTTTGAAGTTTCTAGGGGCCTTAAGTTTCCCCTATGACTCTGAGGTTCTATACTACATAGGAACCCCTCTAAGGCCCAAGCTGTACATATTATATAGGTCCATGGACCCTAAACCCTAAACCCTAAACCCTAAACCCTAAACCCTAAACCCTAAACCCTAAAGGTTCGACTTGAATTAAAACCTGTCGGCTCTTGCCGAGGAGATGGGACGCTGCATGATGCCGCTGCACGCTGATCCCGCCCTGGCGCCTTGACAGTGCGTGGGGTTTAAGAGGTTTAGGTTTAGGGTTCAGGGTTTAGGGTGGTTTAGGGTTTAGGGTGGTTTAGGGTTTAGGGTTCAGGATTTAGGGTTTGGAGTTTTGGGTTTAGGGTTCAGAGGTTTGGGGTTTAGGGTGTTAAGCACAGTTGTTGTTGGGCTAAGAAGTACCACGAACCTCCAAGAAGAGGTTCAGAGGTCTAGGGTGACGCTAAACCCTAAGCCCTAAACCCTGAATCCTAAGCCCTGAACCCTAAACCCGAAACCCTAAACCCGAAACCCTAAACCCTAAACCCTAAACCCTAAACCCTATTGGAGGTTCAGAGGCGTCGAGTCTAGGGTGTCATTCCCATTTTCCGCGTTGGTTAGAACCTGGCCTTCATGGTGAAGATGGGGAACTGCGGCTTTCTTGGTTCGGCTATGTCCGAGTCCTTGAACTACACAGATATAGACACATATAAATTTAAACATAAAGAAGTACAATAAACATAAAAATATGAATATATAAATATGTGTGTGTATGTATATATATATATATGTATCGATGTATATATATATATATACATCGATACACATACATGCGCAAACCCCCGGCAGCGCCACACTTGGAGGTTTATATAGGGTTTAGGGCTTAGGGTTTAGAGGGATTATGGTGTCAACTTGCACACTTCAGGTTCCTCTGAGATGCCATGAAAACGGGCTACAGCACAACGTGAGGGTTTAGGGTTTAGGGTTAGGGTTTAGGGTTTAGGGTTTAGGGTTTAGGGTTTAGGGTTTAGGGTTTAGGGTGCCCCCTAAGGTGACAGGGCATAAGCTTAGATCTAGGCAGGGTTGGACAGGCTTCGAGGTTTAAGGTTTAAAGTTTATGGCATGAGGGCCACGTGGGGGACGGGCCGGCAGGGAACCAATCTTTCACCCCTACCAGACCCTGACTGAAAACCCTTTGCAAGCCCAAAACCCTCTAAGCCCTAAACCCTCAGTAGCCTCAGGAGGACGCCACGCTGCAGACGGTCACGGCGGACCTCGACGTCTTCGGCTCCCCAGGCAGTCGAGGCGGCATAGGGCCCTTCCCCCCCCCTCTTTTCTGTAAACTAGGATTGAGGGTTTAGGCTGCCCACCGGCGACACAATGAAGCACACACCCCGACAAGAGAAAAAGAAAAACTAAACAAAAAAAAAATACAAAATACAGTAGTACTAACAAGAATACTAATACTAATGAACCCGAAGTCCAAAACCTGGAAGAGACCCCAAGCCCACACCCTAAGAAACATTAAGAAGCCACCGTTGGCTCCGAGGAGTCGACGGAGGCGCTATGTGTGCCCCACCAGTCGGGGGTCCACTCGACGAGTTTAAGGTTTAGGGATTCGGGTTTAGGGTTTAATTTAGGGTTTAGGGCTTTGGGCTTAGGGCTTATAGGGTTTAGGGCTTAGGGTTTAGGGTTTAGGGTTTGGGCACTCCGTCACTGCATGGGTGGCAGCAGCGCGTCGGAGTGCTCGCAGGGAGTGCTCGCACGACCGCAAGTTTGGCAACCGGGTGTTCAAGAACCACAGGACCCTGGCAGAGGTCAATGTGGGGTTCCACCAAACCGGCACCTGTCCGGTCTTCCTCCACGCCTTTTTGCAGGGGCTTTAGATGAAATCAGGGTTTATAGGGTTTAGGGCTTAGGGCTTATGGTTTATATATGGCTTAGGGCTGAGGGCTGATGGTTTATATAGGGTTTAGGGTTAGGGTATCGGGTTTGGGCTTAGGGACTTTTTTTTTGGGGGGGGTGGTTAGGGGCGGGGGATTCGGGGGACTACAGGTTGCAGTGTTAAGCCTGTAAGGCTGATGATTAGAGGCTCGGTGTGGGGGTATTAGGACACTTTTTTTTGCCTCTGGCATCAGCGAGTTGTCACCAAAGCCATATAGATAGAGCTCTTTCTCCCAGGAGCTCATAGCCCCCCGCGATAAGTCTACATTTCAAGCCCTAAATCCCAAGCCCTACAATGCCCTGAAGCCCAAAGCCCTAAACCCTAAACCCCAAGCCCAAAGCCCTAAACCCTAAACCCTAATCCCTACACCCTAACCCCTAAACCCTAAACCCTAAACCCCAATCCCTGCAATGAACCATAGCTACCCAGCAGTATGCGGGGGGAGGGGGGGGGGGGGGGGGGGGGGGGTCTTTCAGAGGGCCAAACTAAACCCCTGCAAAGCCGGCAAGCTCCAAACCCTGTACCCTCTCAGCCCTGAAATCCCGAAACCCGAAAGCCCTAAACCCCAAACCCCAAACCCTGAACCCTAAACCCTAAACCCCAAACCCCAAACCCCAAACCCCAAACCCCAAACCCTGAACCCTAAACCCCAAACCCCAAACCCCAAACCCCAAACCCTAAACCCCAAACTAAACCCTAAACCCTAAACCCTAAACCCTACCCCACACCCCAACTCGCAGCTAGGTGCGCTTCCTCAGCAGTGGCCGCGCCTCGCTGCGCTGCGCGCTTCGCAGGCGCCGGGCGCGGAGGAGTGCCCCGGCGGAGGTTGGGGTTTAGGGTTTAGGGTTTAGGGTTTAGGGCTTAGGGTTTGGGTTTAGGGTTTGGGGTTTAGGGCTTAGGGCTTAGGGCTTAGGGTTTTCGAGTTCGGCTTTGGAGCCCTCTTGTGTCTGGACCACATCCTGGCTGTACATCATGCGGCACGCGAGTGCGGGCACTGAGGCCCAAACACTGTGGATCCTGGGTTCCCTACTATGCCACTCTATACTACTCGCCCCTAGGTTCCCCCCCTAAATATCCTTTAACTAGGCCTAGGCTTAATTTAGCTTAAATGGCCTTGCCTATGGGGGAACCCAGGGAGGGTAGTATAGAGGTGGGGAACCCATCATGAAGCGGTTGAAGGGGTTAAGGGGTTCAAGAGGTTCAAGAGGTTTAGGGGAGGGTTTAGGGAGGCGTCCAAATGCCCAACACCCCACACCCTAAGCCGCTACAAATTCCAGAGCCCTAAGCCCTAAAGCCAGGAGTTCCTACGCCTCAGACCTTGCTCGTCCCTTACTTCAGGCAAAATCCCTACACCCCATAAGCCCTAAAAATCGCTCCACCCCTCAGCCCCAAGATCCCCCAAACCCCTAAACCCTAAACCCTAAACCCTAAACCCTAAACCCTAAACCCTAAACCCTAAACCCTAAACCCTAAACCCTAAACCCTAAACCCTAAACCCTAAACCTCAAGATCCCCATCCCCAAAACCCTCAGCCCAAAGCCCTGAACCCCAACCGCCCACCCACTCCCACCAACCAACTCGGCTTTTCAGGGGTCAGGGTTTAGGGTTAGGGTTGAGGGTTCAGGGTTCAGGGTTCAGGGTTTAGGGTTCAGGGTTTAGGGTTTAGGGTTTAGGGTTTAGGGTTAAGGGTTTAGGGTTTAGGGTTTAGGGCTTCACTCAAAGGCTCTGGCATTTGCAGAAACTCGCGCCGCACCTTGACCTGCAGTCTTTTCCCCGGCGGAGCTCCCCTGGGCTTCTTGAGGGCTTTTTGGGGGACAGTAAGGTCAGGGTTCAGGTTTAGGGTTTAGAAGGGGGGGGGGGAACTCTTTAGAAGTTTAAAACTATTAGCTTTTTTCCGGGCGGGGGGGGGGGGGAAGCTTGGTAAGGTTGAGGGATAGTTGGGGAGGCGACTTGGCGTAGAGTTGTGGGTTTAGGGTCGGGGGCCTTGAGTGGAAGTTTCAGGGTTTAGGGACCCTAAACCCTAAACCCTTTAGGGAGGGGACTATGACGGTCGAGGTATGATGTTGGCAGAGGTTCATGCAGTCCAGGGGGTGGTTTAGGGTTTGGGGTTTCGGGTAGATTGGGGGAAGTTTGGTTTCGGCTGAGGATGATTTGGGGACCCGGTCTAAAACGATCCTCTAAAGGAACATAAGGGCCATAACATCAGTATATTTACAAAACCTCTTGGGGTTACACAACCTCTTGGGGGGGGGGGGGGGGGGGGGGGGTACATCCTTAGGGGTACGAGTCTGAACCCTTGATACTCAGTTTTAGGGATTCTTTGTGGGAAGCGTTCTCGGAATTATTGGGGGGGGATCGTAGGGTTCGGGGTCGATCACCAGTTGGTGCGGGATTCCTACGGTACATCGCGACAATTTCGGGAGTTCTTGAGGGGCCTATGCGCGCCGGGGACTCTTGGTAGCCCGGTGGTACCCTAAATCCTAAACCCTAAACCCTTGTTGGGGTTCTGGGCTCCCTGATAAAGTAGCCGACCCAAAAAAAAGGTGCCCTTCTTGCAATGTGCTTACTTGGCCACAAAGGACAACAGGGCAGCTTTTTCTGGGTAGGGGTCATGGAGGGGATGATTGGCGTTTTATGGAAGGTGTATAACCCCTAAACCCTAAACCCTAAACCCTAAACCCTAAACCCTCAAGACAAAATAAATAGAAATTGTATGTGGTATCATTCTGAACTTTCAAGATATTTGTCTAAACAGCTGACATACAGAGTTTAAGTAAATTAATCCAAAGTGCCTGGGAGACCAAATGCTCAATTTACTTCAGCCTCTGGGGCCAACTTAGGCTACACGTCAAGCCCACAAGTGAGGCCCGAAAATCGACCTTCCAACGAGAGGTCCCAAATTAGACTGCGTGAGGCCCTGGGCCCCAAACCCCCCCCCACAAACCCCCCCAAAACCCCCCAAAACCAAAGCCTAAAATTGGCCCCTAAAGCCCAAAATTTTCTCCAAAGCCCAAAATTGGCCCCCAAAGCCCAAATTTTGCTCCCCAAGCCAACTTTGGTTGCGGAGCCCAAAATTGCCCCCTCCCTTCCCCCCCCCCTCCAGCCCCTCCCCTGCCCCCCCTCTCAAAAATTAAAAATGAGTTCCAAAAAACAAAACTTTCGGTCAAAACTTTTGGTCAAAACGTTTCGTTCAAAACGTTTCGTTCAAAACGTTATTGGGACCCAAACCCTATACAATTTCTATAAACCCTAGGGCTGGCAGCCTTGGGCTTTCGGGTTCTGTAAGGGAAGTTACATGGCCCTCTGAAGTACGGGCAGCATGGACCGTGGGTTTTATGGAGTATACAAGGGGGTATATAAGGGGACCCCATTTAAAGGCCCACACTAAGGGCTCCTAGGTAGGAGAAGGGCGACCCTTAAAAGGGAACCCTTCTTAAGCCTCTTCTGGATCTCTTAAAAAAGGGACCTTATTCAGAGGGTCTATGTCCCCAAGTGTTTCTCTATCCTATCCCCTCAAGGGACCATGTATCTACCCGAAGTGGTTAAAGAGCACGGAAAGCTCAGGCAACTGATTGAGGACTTTGGGGACCGACGGTGCCTGTTCGTTCAGGCTCAGGCCAGTCTGGTTGCACAAAATAGGTGGTTTAGGGTTCAGGGTTTATCCCACTGTCTACATCTAAATATGCTGAGACGGTAGCTGTGTGCCTGAGCGAAAGTTTAGGGTTTCCAGGGCTTGCAGGGATTTTTCATGAGGTTTATGAGGTTTAGGTTTCGGGTTGTCGTGCTAGTGGTAGTATCGGCTTTCTCTGGGCTGGGCCCCAAACCGTGAACTTGCGCCCTCATGCAATTCATTGTTGGCTCTCCCATGCTATGCCCGCGAAACCCTAAACCCTAAACCACCCTAGACGCCTAAACCCCTGAACCCGGAAACCCCTAAACCCCTAACCCCGAAACCCTACACCCCAAACCTTATAAACCCTAGACCTTAAACCCTAAACCCTAGAAACCCTATAAACCCTGCAAACCATGTAAACCCTATAAACCGTTTATAAACCCTATAAACCTTATAAACCCTATAAACCACAAAAAACCACAAAAAAACCCAACCCCGAAACCTAACCCCTAAACCCGAACCCCAAAACCCTAAACCCTAAAGCCTAAAGCCTAAACCCAAACCCTAAACCCTAAACCCTAAACCCCAAACCCCATAAACCCAAACAAATTGGCACTCGCGAGGCACTAGAAGCCGGCGCAGAGGCTCCCGGGAGTCGGAACAGGAGGGGTTTAGGGTTTAGGGTTTAGGCTTTAGGGTTCAGGGTCAAGGGTTTCGGGCGTTTTAGGGTTTTACAGGGTTTTTTCGTAGGCTTTACTAGAGTTTTCTGAGGGTTCTGTAGTTTCTTTTGCTTGTAACTGCCCCAAACCCTAAACTCTGAGGTTGGGACCATGGGTATCGCCCCTTATCCTGGTTTAAGGGGATTTCAAGGGATCCGAAGTATGGGCCCTTACTATGTATAGTGTACATAAAAGGTTATCGAACAGGGGACAACAATTTGGGGCTCATACATCGGATCCCCTATAAACCCGAACCCTAAACCCTAAACCCTAAATACCCTAAACCCTAAACCCTAGACCCTAACGCCCACCATTTCCGACCATGTCTCGGCGAGGTTTCTCCACACCGGGACGCGCTGCCCTCCGGTGTCCTGGATAAACTTCCCAAAGGGTCCATGTACCTGGGTAGGGTTTAGGGTTTAGGGTGAATAAGGAATACTGGAATACTTAGTTTGGGCCTTAAAAGCACCTCGTGTATAGGGACTTTAGGGCCCAAGTATATAATGATTAGGTACATGGACCCAAAGGGCTTAGCAACCGAGTTGACGACTAACGGCTGAGGGTTTAGGGATTTCGGTCGATGCTATGTCAGGGGCTTTAAAAAGTGTAGGATGATTGCAACGCCGCAGGTGGTCCTTAGAAGGCCCCAGTCTTAAAGTAAGGAATACGCCACGCCTTCGTAAAGGATCCTTAGCAAGTCTGAAGAAGATTCCTTCAAAAAAGGTGTCGTGGTCCCCTTGATTTTAGTGATAGAAAAGTGAGAAGACCCCCAACCCTCAACCTTAAACCCCAGGGTCTCCAAGGTTGTTGTTGAGTTCAAGGCTTCTGGACCTCTCGACCTATATGGCTGGCAGTTTACTCGAACCCGCGCTGTTACCATTCTACTAGTTCCTTAGGAACCACCCCAAACATTAGGAATATGTTCCCTATATTGCCCTACTTATAAGGAAGTTGTTTTGCTTTCTTCCGGTGTTCTTAAGCAAATGGTAGTACTGTTCTGTGTTCTCCTCCTTTCTGTAGGTGTGTGTTTTCGCCCCCATCCCTACCTTGTCCCCCTGGTTCTTCGTAGGGAATGAGGGAATGAGGGCCCTACAGAATCCCATCAAGGGTATATGTTTATTATAAAGGGCCCTCATTCCCTCACCCCGTACAAAGAACCAGCCACCTGTGGCTCCATTGTTCTTCAAATGGTGCCCTTGATTTCTGGGTTTAGGGTTCAGGGTTCGGGTTTAGGGTTCAGGGTTCAGGGTTTAGGGTTTAGGGTTTAGGGTTTAGGGTTAGGGTTTAGGGTTTAGGGTTTAGGGTTTAGGGTTTAGGGTTTAGGGTTTAGGGTTTAGGGTTTAGGGTTTAGGGTTTAGGGTTTAGGGTTCCTCCTACGCTGCGCCATCTTCAGTTCGAGCTTGGTTTCCCAGCAGCTGCAGGCGGTCTGGAGAAGCCGCAAAAAGGGTCGGTTTTAAACTTCATGAACCATAAACCCTAAGCCATCTCAGCCCTAAACCCTAAACCCTAAACCCTACACCCTAACCCCTAAACCCTAACCCTAAATCCTAACCCCTAAACCCTAAACCCTAAATCCTAAATCCTAAGCCCTAAACCCTAAACCCTAGAAGCCCTAGACCTGCGTCTCGTGGCCTTCTTTGATACCGAGGTGGCGACCTGATCGCCACGGTTGTCCTCGAGGGTTCCAGCGACGTCCGCGTCGGCTCGCAGCGCTTTGAGGCCGTTCCTTTTACCCCCAAGCCTGTTTAGGGTTTAGGGTTTGGGGTTTAGGGTTTAGGGTTTAGGGTCTCGGGTTTAGGGTTTAGGGTTCAGGGTTTCGGGTGTAGGGTTTCGGGTTTAGGTTTAGGGGTTTGGGGTTCTGGGTTTTGGGTTTTGGGCCACGGGCAAACTCGGGCAAACTCGGTGGGTGTTGCAGGGCACTGAAGCGGCTTAGGACCCTAAACCCCAAACCCTGAACCCTGAACCCTAAACCCTAAACCCTAAATGCGTGACAAGGCTTCGAAGGCCAAATCTCTAAACCCTAAAGCCCGTATAAGCCCCTATAAGCCCCTTTAAGCCCCTACAAGCCCTTGAACCTCCTGAGCCCTTAAACTCCTTCAAGGCCGGTTTATGGGCTTTACGCGTTTTGAGGTCTGAGGGGTTTAGGGTCCTTAGTGGCGGCTCAGGTGTGTAGGGTACGTTATGTGTATACAAATACATACATACATACATACATATAGAAATATATATATATATATATCCCCTCATATGTATATGTACTCCTGAAGGGGTGATACAGGGTACCTCCTTCCCCTCAACCCTGAACCCTAAACCCTAAATCTTAATTGCCTACTTGGAGGTTCAGGTAATTACAACCCCAAAGTAGAATGTACTTATAATGCCCCCTAAGTAGCGTATAAGTGGACTTATAGTCAAGTTATAAGCCCCCCTAAACCCTAAACCCAAATTCCCTAGACTAAGAACCAGTAGACGTTCGAGTTGCGAGGTGCAAGCGGGCGATTTCTACGCCATCGGTCACGCTGCCAGGGCCTTGATCACCCGAAAACCCTAATTAAACCTTACACCTAGACCCTAAACCCTAAACCCTAAACCCTAAACCCTAGCCCTAAACCCGAAACACTTTAGATTTAGCAGTGGCTCTTTTTTCGGATAAGGGTGGGGCGGAGGAGTTCTAAGGTCCTCAGATGCCGCAGCCATGGTTGCCGGGTTGAAAGCTTGGGGGGGGGGGGGGGGGAAGTAGCTGGAGGGTTTAGGGTTTAGGTTTTAGGGTGAAGGGTTTAGGCTTTAGGTAAACTTTAGGCCATAGGGTTTAGGGTCTCGGTGTAATTCCAGGTTTTCTGAACTCCGGTGCGCTTCAGAGTGCAAAGGTTCAGGTTTGGTAAGTCAGCCCTCAACCCGGAACCCTTACCCACCCTAAGCCCTGTCAAAGTCTTTTCTCTGCCCGGAGCCCCTACCCTAAGGGTCCATGTTCAGGGTTGAGGATTTAGGGTTGAGGGTACCCCTATAAGGGTCCGTGTGCCTAATTACTATATACTTGGGCCCTAAAGTCCCTATGTAGCAGGTACTTGAAGGTCCAAGTAGTCCTTAAAGTAGGTACATGGACCCCACCTACACTAGGTCCTTAGGTAGGTTCTTGGGATGTGTTATACTTCCCCTTATTGGGTTTACTGAGGATCATATCTTGGAGTCCATATCTTGGAGTCTAAAGGCCGACCTAGTAGAAGCCTCAGAGTCCAAAATCGTCGGGCGAGGAGTCCCCTAACATACCCTAAACCCCAAACCCCAAACCCCAAACCCTAAACCCTAAAGCCTAAGCCTAAAGCCTAAACCCTAAACCCTAAACCCTAAACCCTAAACCCTAAACCCTAAACCCTAAACCCTAAACCCTAAACCCTCACGAACTTGGCAGAACTCAGCTTCCGCCGCTGCCTGCCTTAGAGTTTGCCTTGCACCAACACAAGATCAAGGAGCCTCCCGGGTTTCTAGGTTTAGGGTTTACAGTACTTGTAAGTCCTCTAGACTTAGTAAATAGGGTCAGACTTACTAAGTCAAAGGAGCTTCCAAGTAGGGTCTCGAAGTGTTCTATTACACGCTTTTAAGGTTTTGGGTTGCCCTGCTTTCGGGCTTCTATGGTTCACGAACAGTTGGCGCGTGGCATTTCAGCTGCCATGTCGACTGGCCGGATTCCTGCAAGAGACTTCTACACGGAGTACCATGGGCACCAGGCCAGATTTTTGCTTGGAGGTTCAGGGTACTTATTCACAATATAGTAGCTGTACTTACAACCCAATTATAACCATATTCGGGCACTTAAGGGGCTGATAAGTGGTTTATAAGCACAGTTACAATTGGTTAATAAGTACCATGAACCTCCAAGTAGGGCTTAGGGTTTTAGGGTCCTGGAAGGGACTGACTCCTGGCAATAGCGGTTCTAGTTACGGCCACAAAATACCCTAAACTCTAAACCCTAAACCCCAAACCCCAAACCCCAAACCCTAAACCCTAAACCCTAAACCCTAAACCCTAAACCCTAAACCCTAAACCCTAAACCCTAAACCCTAAACCCTAAACCCTAAACCTTAACTGGGGCTCTACAAGGAACTTGCATGGGTTGTAAGTAAAAGCATGGGTTATAAGTATGAGCGAAGGCCGGAGCTCTGGCCTCCAAATTGCCCAGCGGACCAGATACCCTAGACTCACGCAAAGTCTATAAAGTTATACAGGGCATGGTTTAGGGTTTTAGGGGTTTAGGGTTTCGGGTTTAGGGTGTAGGGTGAACCCTAAGCTTAAACTCTATACCACATCTTAGGGGCCCATACTGTTAGAGCCCAAGAAGCCCTAGAGACACAAACTACCCTAAACCCTAAACCCTAAACCCTAAACCTTAAACCAGCTCAAAGACCTGAACCCCAAGCACCAAGGTCTTTACTTAAAAGGCACGAACCCCAAATTAAGCATATCAGCCCCGGACACTGAAACTTTGCGCAAGGCGGTCGATACCCCTGACCCACCTCTGGTGAGGAAGGCTGATGAGGACCCTACAGCCCCCTAAACCCTAAACCCTAAACCCTAAACCCTCATCCCTGGACCCTAAACCCCTAACGCTAAACAACCACAACCCGAATCCCTAAACCCTTAAACCCTAATCCGAAACCCCCAAGCCCTAAAACCCTAAGCCGCCAAAGCCCTAAACCCTGCAAACCTACACCCTAAAACCCCCAACCCTAAGCATTCCAACTCCTAACCCTAACCCCCATAAGCCCTAAAGCCCTAAACTCCTAAACCATCCATACCGTGAACCCTAAACCCCCTTAAGCCCTGAACCCTAGAAGCCCTACACTCCGAAAACCCTAAACCCTAAACCCTAGACCACCTGAAACCTAAACCCTAAAACCCCGAATCCCTAAACCCCAAACGCTGTATAGTCCCCATGAAGCTCTGAAATCCTAAGCCCCTAAACCCTAATCCCTAAACCCTAAACCCTAAACCCTCAAAAAATCCTAAGCCCTCGAGAGAAAAACTCCCGAAAGCCGAACCCCCCTTAAACCCACAAACCCTTCAACCCCTGGTTTAGGGTTTCGGGTTTAGGGTTTAGGGTTTAGGGCTTAAGGTTTAGGGTTTAGGGCTTAGGTTTCGGGTTTACGGCTTAGGGTAAAAATGCCTTAAGCCCTGAAAAGCAATGCCCGAAACCCGACACGCCTGACCCGTAAACCCCGGAAACCCTTGAAACCCTAACCCGAAAAATCTAAACACATCGAAACCCCTACAATAACCCCTAATCCCCCCCACGAAAACTCAAAGCCCTAAACCTTTAAACCCGTCAGCCCTGAATGCTAAACCCGCCCCTGAAACCCTAAACCCCCCACAGCCCCCCTTCTTGAAACTCCTTAAGCCTGAAGCCCCAAGACCGTCGCAAGGTGAGCCACCTGCCCTAAACCCTAAACCCTAAGCCCTAAACCCTAAACCCTAAGCCCTAAACCCTAAACCCTAAACCCTAAACCCTAAGCCCTAAACCCTAAACCCTAAACCCTAAGCCCTATAAACCCTAAACCCTAAACCCCAACAACCTTCGCAAGGTGGGCCACCTGCAGCCCTTGGTCCAAACTCTCCGGGCCAATGGGGCTCGGAGACTCTCGGCTTCGGGGTTTAGGGTTTAGGGTTTAGGGTTTAGGGTTTAGGGTTTAGGGTTTAGGGTTTAGGGTTTAGGGTTTAGGGTTTAGGGTTTAGGGTTTAGGGTTTATATACGATGTAGAGGGTTTAGGGTGTAGAGGGTTTAGGCGGTTTAGACGGTTTAGAGTTTAGGGTATATATGGATTGGTTTATGAAGGTTGAGGGCTTTGGGCAAATTAGGGGTTTAGTTTTTTTTTTTTTTTTGTGTGTGTGGTGTGTGTGTGTGCATGTGTAGTGTGTGTGTGTGTTGTGTGTGTCATGTGTGTGTGTTGTGTGTTGTGCGTGTGTGTGTGTGTGTGTGTGCATCAGTGTGTGTGTGTGTGTGCATCAGTGTGTGTGTGTGTGTGTGTGTGCATCAGTGTGTGTGTGTGTGTGTGTGTGCATCAGTGTGTGTGTGTGTGCATCAGTGTGTGTGTGTGTGTGTTTTTTGAGGTTTTTGCGCTTTAGGCTCTTTAGGACTTTAGGGCTGAGGGGCTTGGGGTTTAGGGGTTTAGGATTTTAGGGTTGGGTTTAGGGTCTTTTTGGGTTTCAGCATGTTCGGGTTTCGGGTTTTAGCAGGCTTTGTCGGTCACGGTGCTTTTTGACAGATGCCCAGGGCGTGTTGTCTCAGGGTTACTCCGAAAGTCGACACACTGCGCTGCATGCATGCGCTAGGACCCGGAGTAGATCCGTATTCCCTTTTTTAAGGGTCAGGCTCCTTCACAAGCCCCTTCAAACATGAAGGGCATCACTCTTGAGTCTGTAGTACGTGTACACCTTTCCGTTTTCACCATTTGCGCTCCCTGTGGACGCCAAAGCTCCCTTTCGGCAGTTTAGGGTTTAGGGTTTAGGGTTTAGGGTTTAGGGTTTAGGGTTTAGGGTTTAGGGTTGCCCCGAAGCTCCTGGAGCCCCCCCAGCTCTAAGCGCCGGACGCTGTGCAAGTCTGGCACCTCAAACTTTGGGTTAAGGGTTAAGGGTTTGGGGTTTAGGGTTTATAGGGTTTAGGGTTTAGGGTGTAGGGTTTATGAGTTCTGTCTCTCCGACTGGAGGCTTCATCTACTTGGCTGGCGATTCTACATTGGACAACAAGCACTGGTCGCACGGCTGAGATTCGAGGTCTGCAAGCTTGCATGCCAACGTCATACGCGAAGCGCACGCAGAGGTTCCCACCCATCGAAGTTCCCCTCAGAGATGTTGTAGGGTTTAGGGCCAGTTTAGGGTTTAGCGTTTAGGGTTTCGGGTTTGGGGTTTAGGGTTTAATTAGGGTTTAGGGACCCGAAAGTGTTTGCTGAGGCTCTTTTCCCACCGTGGTGGATTTCAACAGGAGAGGTCCGTGACGGCGGCCATCAACGGGTATGAGAAGGCAGCCGGGCCGCCCGTCTAAGACCCTACTCCGCTCTGAGGGTGGGTGTAGGGTTGAGGACTCGTGCTCGGTGGCTGTGAGGGTGTGGCGCCCTAGATTTAAGAGCCTCCGGCTCAAGCCCCCGACCCTGCAGGAGAACAAGTTTAAGGTTTGGGGTTTGGTGGGTTGGGTTTGCGGTTCGGGTCTGGGTGGGGGGGTGGGGGGGTGGGGGAGGGGTGGGGGGGGGGGGGGGGGGTGGGGGGGGGTGGGGGGTGGGTGGGGGTGGGGGGGGGGGGGGGGGGGGGGGTGGGGGGTGGGGGGGGGGGGTGGGGGGGGGGGGTGGGGGGGGGGTGGTGGGGGGGGGGCGGGGGGGGGGGGGGGGGGTGGGGGGGGGGGGGGGGTGGGCCCAGAACCCTACTCCAGATTTTAGCGATCTTGTTTTTGGGAGGCTCTGGAGCCGCCACTCATGATGAAGGATGTGAGCACCTTGATGGAATTGGGGTTTAGGGTTCAGGGTTCAGGGTTTAGGG